ACCAGTGTACATCCTCTGGTCTAGCCAGACTTGCAAGGTAGAATTCATATCATGATAGTGGGAGCGGGGAGGAAACATTTAGGAACTAGAGGAAAGTTGTATTTTTCATCATTGCTATATCACCCCCTGACTGGCTCGTCCCCTTCCCGAGACCCCTCTGCAAGGGGGTCTCCAGTGGCCTGCTTAAAATTTAATTTTTAAGTTTTATTGCTATTTCATTCACATATCATACAATTCAATAGTTCAATCACTTCAAGAAGAGTTGTATAATCATTAACACAATTTTAGAACATTTTCTTCTTCCTTGTACTCATTATTGTGTATTTTTGTGGCAAAAATATGTACAACAAAACATTCTCCAATTCAACATCTTCTACTTGTGTAAGAGACTGAGGTAGTTAGTTTATTGTGCCAACCTGGCTGATAAACACATGTGGGGTTAAATAAAGGGTGGAGAGATAAATGACTTGGTGAGCCTCGCCTTTCAAGTTCTCGGGTCTCTTGCTTTCTGACAGTCAGACCAGGGTGTAGCTGCCTTAGCCAGTTCCCTGCTTCAGCTGGCAAGGCTCACTTCCTGCAAGACATCCCTGAGGAGAAGCCACATGGACCTACCCTGATTCAGTCCTGGGTGCTGGAGCAGCTGCGTGGAGACCCCTGCCAGCCCTGAGATGTTTACACATTCACTGACTCGGCTTTCCTCCTGTAGTCAGCATCATTGTGTCTGTTTTGTGAGATGGAGGAGGACTTTGTGGATTGGTGTTGGACATATGGGTTAATGTTGAACTTGTGGGCTTGGACAGCACTGGGTTGGGATGTTTTCTTGATGTACACTTAACCTTTATATAAAACTCTCTTATATGTGAGTTTCTGTGGATTTGTTTCTCTAAAGTACCCAGACTATTACAGAGACTGTAAGTCTTTTAAAAAATTATTGAGTTAATACATATATAATTCCATTATTCAATCACATCAAGCAGAATTGTACACTTGCTACCATAATCGGTTTCCGAGACTGTAACTTTTATGGCAGCAGAAAGTCTCGTCTTTCTTCTGTGGTGCAGCTGGAGGTTTTGAACTGTGATTTTTGGTTAGCAGCCCAATGCATAACCGCTATACCACCAGGGGTCCTCAAAAGCTAGACCAGTAAATGAAAATTATAGGGAGGCATATTGTAAATCATGTATTTGTTATTAGAAATAACATGTACATCATGTATATGTTATTAGAAATAACTAATGTGCCGGAGGCTTAAGTGGAGAGGAAATGTTTTGAGAATGA